TCAGACTTTGGCACAGGATCGGGAACGTTGGAAGCTTTGTCTGACGCGTTTGCCTCCGCAACCCGAAAGGAGAAACGGCAACTGAAGATGAATAAGAATATGAAGTACAGACAGGTCTAAAGGGAAGATCATGTTTATGCATTTTAAGTAAGCAATAAAGCTACCGACTGCATTATTTGCCTGTTAACAATCTACGTACGTGATGGTAACATCCCTGATGCTACTGAACCAGAAGCTGTTGCTGCATTCGGTTGTGTAAGTTAATTTCTTACCAAAATGAGGTAGCTTCGTGCGAACCTGCTTTGTTCTCTTCAAGTAGAATCGATGCCTTCGACAAACATTGTGAATATGGGTGTAGCGGACACTTGAATCGTTCTTCGTGAAGGAAAAACATTCGTTAAAGCAAATAAAAAGGATACTCATATTACCTCAGTTGGAAGAAGAGCTTTGCAGCTGTTTCAACTCATAGATATTTGAGTAAAAATAAGGGTAACATGTCGTAACTGCGCGAAACAGTGATGAGCAAAAGTTCCTGTTCTTCTATCCATTTTGGCGAAGGAAACCTTTCTGTAATCAAAGAGTATGCGAAAATACTGACATTATATTGACAGCTGATTGTTAACTAGTTACGGTGCTAGTTTATCTCCAGACTTGCTCTACTGTGGCGGTTCGGCGTTCGATGAATTGGCTGTTAAAATGCTCAGGTGAAAGTCGATCTAGTTTACTGACATAGACTTCCGTCTCTATTTGTGCCTAAAATTGTAGAGCACTGGTGAGGGAAGAAATGTTAACTGAACTTGACCTGCCACATTTTTGTACTTTGCGAAAACAATGACACAAAGAAGCGAACGGCATCTAGAAAGGCGGTAGTTTGATAGACAACCGAGTCATAACAATGACTTCGTTCAAGCAGGGAGCCAAGGAAGAATCGAGAAACTTCCCCAAACGGCCTAATCTCAAGGTGACAAGCTATACACTACACTGTCGACAGGTCTGGGCAAGCAGTAGCTGAGAAAGCAGACAGGATTCTGAAGAAGCTACAGCGCGACGGATAACATCGTTTCCTCTGTGCAGAATCTTCATCTACCGCGAGAAGCTTTTGTCGCTGTACAGCATGATCAGTGCAGGGATTGTACAGGCAGAATAGGACATCGAGACCCATTAAAAGCTAACGAAAACTTACTCTGGCTCGTTTTGAACAGTCGATTTATCGTATTTTTCAGTATATCCATGACTTGGACAGACGCAAAACTGAAGATGTACCCGGTGATAACTTTACACCATAACCGAGGAACATATTCAGATTTGCCATCGCCAGTTTTAAAGATTTATAATGAATTTATGAACCTTTATCTGTAGTCAAGCTTGCAGCAGGCCTGTGGCATATGTGCAACTTCAAATATCAAAGTTGCTGCAGATACCACAGCCTACCGCTAGACTTGTAAAGAGCTAAACAGGGTTAAGTTGCGACATCATGACGACAGATTCAGAGAATTTGCTCGTTCCGTTGATTAGCCGGTATGCTAATCAGCACAACGCACATTTTCCCAGTATGGCAGACGTTTCAGTCTGCAGCATAAGTAGAAAGCGAAGCGTAATTACCAAACGACATCCATCATTTCTTTAACTATAGCCCATTTTCGTACTTCCAAACTGTCAGCTTTTTAGACGCAACACTTCCATCTTCTACTGTGACTACCCGCGCCTCTGTTGTTCGATGTGAAACCTTCATTTATATACTTTTTTCTGACGGGCTTTCGTATGTTTATTATCCGCGAAGCATTTCCATTGGACGCCATAAGTGTGTTACAACGACGCACCTTTCATGAACGCGTCAAATTCGAATTATTACCTTTGTCTTCAGAGTATTCGGCTGATATGGTGTTTTCGTGACCTCTGAATTCAATCCAGCACAATGGCGCTTGACCCTGCTTTAGTTATATTTAGTACTAAACACGATAACACGCTAAATAGTTTCAGCGTGACTCATTTC